CCCGAGATCCCAGCCCTCGCGTGCCATCTGGTGGTCGCCTGGGTCCATTGCATCTGGCTCCGCACCTCTGGGCGCTCTGGGCCTCTCCTGGCTGCTCAGGCTGAGCATTTTGCAGGCTCAGCCCTGCTGTGCTAAATTCTCACATTACTAAAACGTCCAGCAGTGCCCCAGCAAGGCCCTATGGCGCCCCTCCAGAGTCCCTAGAACACACTTCTCAAGATCTGAGCTCAGTAGAGGAAGGGTGGAGTGTTAACTTTTGGAGAAATCACTGAGAGCATCTCTGCTTCAGGGTCTCTTCCCTGGAGTTTCTTTGTAAGCGTTAGCTTGCAGCTGTGTTGCAAAGGATGTACACGAGGAGATGATGGTCCTGTGAATAAACCTCAGAGCATACTTGATAGATGAGGCGCAGGTGCGGAGTGTCATGCAACTGCAGTCCTGCAAGTAGGGCGGAAGCTGACTCCAGTGGACTATAAAGTTCAATTAATTTCAAATTGTAGCTTTATGGGCTTGATCACCAGGGCAGAGATTGGCGACTACAGGTGAGGGTCCGGGGTGCTAGTGGGCCTTGTAGGTGTCTGTAGAGAGGCTTTGGAGATTACCTGGCTTCAAAACTAATGGGAGTCACCCTGTTGTGTGCTGAGGGCTCTGCCCGGGAGAAGCGCCTTCCAGAGGACAGTCTGTCCAGTAAATGCTCTGGGTCTTCACTAAACTAAAACTAAAGAAATTGAAGATCATTCAGCCAGAAGGTGCTGGGTCTCAGTCTTTCAACATTTGAATGGATGTCCTATCTTGCCTACCCTAGCATTGGAGAAGTCAATTGTTTTGGGGGTGCTGTTGATAATAAGCTGAGTGATGCTTGAGGCCAGAGGGAGGCCAAAGAGGAACCCATGAGGCAGATAGTGGCATGCAGGGACATGAAAGTTTGTGATTAGAGAGAAATGGATGATCTAGTCAGCCATGGTAATGGGAAAGGATTACGGGGAGTTAAATGGGAAAGCGCGTACCAGTGGATCTGAAGCCTCTGAGTTGAGGGTGAGATTGGTTGCCAGAGAGGCTGGCTGGATTTGTCAGGAGCCCTGGGAGACTTCTGAAGCGGTGAGTACAGGGAGCAGCGCCCCCAGCTCAGTGCCGCCTCATTTTAGGCTGCAGGGTTGGGACTGCCCTAGGAGAGGGCCAGAGGGCAGAGCTTTTCTCCAAACATTCACTGAGTCCTTCCTCTGTGCTGGGAGCTGTAATGAGTAAAAATGGTGACTGAGATGAGTCACTGTGCTGGAGGGGCGAGGGGTCGGCGATTTCGTGCCGCGCAGTGTCACGGAGGTAGATGCAAGCTGCTGAGCAAGCAGAGGGCCTCGCAGGCATTCTTAGTGCACAGAAGTCCTCAGCCGCTAGAAGCCAGTTGCTTTTTTCCCTCATCTTTCTCTTAAAATTTTATTCATGGTCACAGTTTAATACAGAGCAGGGCCCCTGCAGGGTACTCAGCATGTTCTGCTACTTTCTCTTAAAACTTAAAGTTGACCCTTGGGGAGACTTTGTCTTCCTTTGCCAGATTTATGACTGAGCATTTTCCATAATCTGAGAGAAAGAAGGTTTTCAAATAGAGTTTGTTTTGAGAAATTTGGCTCAACTTCTTAATTTGCTTACTCTGGGGCTAAAACGTTTGATATAATTTTGGTTGCTAAAGGCAGATGGAAAGATGTGTGTTTTTACTGAGAGATTTGAGTGAAGAAGTATATTGTGTATGGCTATGTGACGGATTACCCCTGAATTTTGCAGCTGAATTAATCTACTAGGGAAGCCCTGAAAAATACTACAGACTCATGTCTGTAAAAGATAGCTATTTATCTTCCCACATTTCTGGAGGCCCCAGCCCAAGATGAAGGTGTTGGCAGGCTTGCTTTCTCCTGAAGCTTTGCAGAAGGCTAGCTCGTGTGTGTTCACTGGGTGTCTTCCCCAGCTACCTGCAAGCCTGGTGTCTTTTTTCTTTCAAGAACAGCAGCTATATCAGATTAATTCCTCACGCTTAGGAGCTCAGTGAACTTCAATTACTTCTTCCGAGTTCTTACTATCAAATACTGCCAGATTGAGAATTAGGGCTTAGGAAAATTACAAATACCAAGTTGAAAGTGTGTTTGTCAGGCTCAGATAAAATTAGAGCCAGAAGTTTGTGAAGGAGAACTTATACCTACTTGTGTGAGTTAAGTACTATTTCAGGGACTGTCTAAACTCTCCCTGAGAAGTTCTTTATTTTACACCTGTCTATACATAATTTTTTTTATAACAAAGTTTACATTTAACACACTTAAGATTGAGCCAATTTGGGTAAAGTATGTGGGAGAGAGTACACTTGTCCAGCAACACAATTATACTCGTGGCTGTCACCAGTTCTTGCCTTGGTACTGCAAGACAGTTGACACAGTGTCCAAGCATTTATGTGAATCTTTCTTTTTGAAAATAAAAGTTTCCTTTACACTATCTCCTTGGGGTGCATCTGTGAGTTACTGAAATGGACCTCCTGGCCCATCATTTCATGCTTACTCCCAGATAGACGTTTCACACTTGGGGATAATATTCTCTGTTATCTTTCCTCAGCATTTGCTATGGTCTGTGTCTGAATTTCCCCCCCCCCCCACAAGCCTAATGCAGTCCTAGCATATTTTTGGAGATGGATGACTCTAGAGTGTGTGACTGATTTGTAGTGCAGTACTGGGATTAAGGGTGCTGCAATTAAGGGTGAGTAATTGCTGGATCTGTCCATTGTTTAGATTGGCACCACCCTAATCTTGGTAGACTAGATATAATATCAGGAACAGGAAAAGGCTTGTTCCATGCTCTCTTGTTGCCTTTGCTGTATTCTGTCACCATGAATGGTTGCCCCTCTCCACTGGAGCAACTGCTTTGGAGCCAGCTAACTATGGACTGAAACCTCCACAAACTGTGAGCTAAGTAAACTTTTCCTCCTTTTTGGGGGGTATTGGGTATTTTGTTCCAGTGAGAAGAAAAGTAACTAAGACCTTTTTTTTGGTTCCAGAGAAGTGGGATCAGTGCTGTGATACTACCTGGACATGTGGTTCAGGAGTCTTGGGAACTGGCTTGTGAGAACACGGCAATGGTTAGGAAAAGTTAGGAGGTGCTGGCTGAAAATGTGAGCCTGGAATGCCTTAGGCTGTTCTGTATGTGAGATTCTAGTCAGAGCTCAGGTTAGAAGGCTGATAGAAATTCTATCAGTAACAAGCTCTGGAGTTTTCTCCTGGTAAGGACTACATTGATTGTTGGGCTTCAGACAGCATGTGTTATGGCTCGAAAGAAAGTTTGTCTGCATTTTGCTCATGTCCAGAGACTTCACCTGTGACTAATATTAAGGGTGGAAAACTAATTGAATTGGCAGAAGGAATTTTAAGGCTGTCTGATATTGAAGTAGTGGGGATGGCTACTGTTAATAGCATTTAGCCAGATTCATGTTGAGAATCAAGAGCAAAGGTGATTTAAAATGTTATTGAGGGGACAACCCACTTGGGCCCCCCATGTTCCTCTCTCAGACAGAAGTTTTCTTTCCCCCAATAAATATATTCTGCTCATAACCTCCGTTTATTCCTAAAATTCATTCTTCAGTTTTAGAGAACACGAGCTCATCTCAGCTACATTTTACATTAGAAGATCAGCTTTTCTCCCTGTGTCATTTGGAGGTTCCCTGTATCATTTTGGAGATCAATGGATGGAGGTACGAGTTTGCTTTTCTTTCATAAATTCTGCATTGGGACTCATTTAGGTAAAACATTTTTATGCTTCAAATGTTGATAGGTCTTTGCCCATTGCTCATAATTGTTCATAGTTTGCCTCATACAGCTTTGCCCCATATAGTTCTGTTAAAATTGCTTATGCTTCATCTCTTATATGGTTTTTGTTAAAATGTTGGTCAAAATGTTGGTAAATTGAAGTTAAAATATGGAAAGGTTATAAGGTTATGATATTTCTTTAATGTGACATTTTATGACTGTTGTGTAGTTGGATATGTTGCATTTGAACTAGTTACTAAATGTACTTATATTCCTTACCTGACTTTAGAAAATAGTACTAGATAGAGTAACTAGAAAGCCTTCTAGTGGACTTTATATAAACTTCTGTAAAATGGGACTTTTAAATCTAGTTCAGACTTAGAAAATATACATGCGTGTATATGAAACACGGGACTCCTTTTGCCAACTAAATGACATTAGGTTGGCAACCGTTCTAAAAGACTTGGTGGACAGGTTTCACTGGGACAGACTGGCTCTGCTCCCCCTCTACATGCTAGAAGAAATGTCAGGCCTGTTCTGTTTCAGTTTACTTTCTTTGACCTTACTCCTAATTTTCCTAGCTCTTCGTACTTTCCTTTTTAGAAGCATGTAAAATTAGGAGAATGATATAGACTATTCCAACTAAGTGAAGCCCCTGGAAAATAAGTGTTTGTTAACTCCAAAAACAGGGAAGTCATTTTAAAAAAGGACACATACCCCATGTCTGGGTCAGATGAGACAAAGGACTATGCCCATCCAGGAGGACACATATAAAAGCCCATGTCCTGGCTTAATGTTCTGGGCAGGTCTCTTTTGGGAGGCTAAACCTGAGACACAGTGGAAAGAACCGACTTCTGGGTGACACCAGAAGGAGCTATCTCCCAAAGCAGCACACTTATGGGACCTAAAAACATTTAGTGTGAGAGAGGATCTCAACCTTTAGGTGCATAATAATTAAGTTTTGGACTTTAAAACATTTAATGTAAAATGCTAGGTAATCTCATTCAGGCTGTTAACTATCCTCCCTTATAGAACTTGGGCAAGCAGTGGTTACTCTGCCAGCTAGTAAATGCTCCTAGAGAAGTTGTCACTCTGTGAAGCAGAGGAGAGTTTTCCCCAGCTGTTCTTTGGAGATTCCCCATTAAAGCCAATGGCTTATGGAATGTTGACCAGAGAAACTGCTTGATTTCTTTCTGGAAACTGAGCTCTGGTTGTGTGTACCAATAGAAACTGAGAACACCTGAGGGGTCATGGCCATACCCAAAGGTTTCTTGGTGGAAACTGGCTCTTGACAACTAAAAGATCTCCACTTACCTATTGTACATGTTTTCTCTTTCTGCTAGTAAACTAGGAATTCTACCTAAATTTTTCAGTAGAACAACTTAATGAGTCATTCCTTCAGAAATTAGGCTGAGGTGGCTTGTAACAGCTTACATTCTACAGCGGCTATCAAGGAAATGATTTATAGCTGTGGTTTATACGTTAACCTAGAAAGATTTTTGTCAGCCTCAATGTGTTTTTACCAATATGTAAAATGTGTTTTGTTAGATGATAGATATGTTTCACCTATGAGCTTCAAATTTAAATCTTGTCCAGTTGCTAAAAATATTTACCTAGGTGATTAGATGGGAAACAAATGTCTGGAGATTTGTCTCAGTGCATGGGGCCAAATTCCTCCAGTCAATTGTTCTATCTATCTCTAGAAGTGATCTTTGTAGCCTGAGAAGTGCTCAATTCCAGTTGAACTTTTATGAAATAGTTATGATTTCTTCTGTAAACATTCCTGTCACTGGACCAATTGTAACTTACAATTACAAATATTCAATAGGAGTAAGTGAAGCATTTGAAATGTTTCAGGAGATAGGAATCATTAGGAATCATGCACCTGTTTGAGGGTGGATAGGCTGGTGGGATCTTGTCTCAGAGAGCTACTCAGAGAGGCCTGGGTGGAGGAATCAATTAGAAAGAAGGTGGGGATACCCAAAAAGGTAATTTCTATTGAATTCCTGGTTATCTCACAGTCAAAATCTCTTATTCCTTTAGAGTGCTTCATTAGGCACCAGAATGTGTTCCTTACATGCTGAAAAAGAGCCGTTTAATCCAAATGGAACACAGAGGAAAGTATCACTTATGATGCTATTTGATAATTAGAAAGATGATGTAAAAAGGAAAATAGTACAAATGTCCTATGTTTAGATTTTGTTTGCATTAAGAAGGTTATTGTTATTTAAGTTTTGAAATGCAGATGTGAGCTACAGGAGAACCAGGCAGTTCAGGTGCCTGAGGCATTCACTATCCCAGAACCTTTGGAGCCTAAGGACAAGACAGCCTTAATCACAGCTTTGCCCACCATTACTGAAAGTAAGGTTTCCCCTATTTGCCTTTCTAAAGGGTGGGCTTCTAAAACACCTGCCATCCAGGCCTCTACAAGGCTACACCCAACCTTACGTGAATTTATGCAAGCTCCTCAAGGACCATACCTTTAAAGAAAGAAAAAGACAATTTGGAACTTCCAGAAATCATGTGCCTTTTTCTGTGTAACCTAAACAGATAAAATCAGATCTTAGAAAATCTTTAGATGACTCTGATAAGTACATTCATATCTTTAGAGGACTTATTCAGACTTATGAATGTTAATCT